TAAAAAAATAAAACATTAATTTAAATTTATCAATCATCTAATTTAATTATTTCATATGATATTTGTGTTGAAATTAAAAATTACTTTTCTAATTCTTTATATAAATTAATGATAAAATTGTATAATCAATATATTTGATACAGGTAGAAAAAAAAAAAGACTTAATTTGATAGTATTAATTTGTAATTATAATTATAAATTTTTAAATTTTTTAACATCTTAAAAAACAAAAAAAATATTGTCAAACAAAACCAAAAAAAAAAAAAAAAAAAAAGAATAAAGAAAGAAAGAAAAGAAAAGGCCTTTGTGAAAACAATAAATCATTATAGCCAATTTCGTCATTAGGTCAAATCTATAGGTTCCCATCGGAACCCTAATTTATACACAGCACAAAAACCCCACTTTCTTTCACTTCCGCTGCCCTTACTCTGCGAAGTTAGCAAAAATCCATCTTCAGGGTTTCTCCAAGCAAAGGCCTTTTAGCAGCCATGGCGACTACTGCAGCAGCACCGGGAGCCCCTCTATCTCAGAAGGAAGCCGACATACAGATGATGTTGGCTGCCGAGGTGCACCTCGGTACCAAGAACTGCGATTTCCAAATGGAACGCTACGTATTCAAGCGTCGCAATGATGGTATTTATGTTTATCTTCTTCTCTTCATTTGTGCATGTTGTTTGGATTCTTGGGGTTTGTTGGTTCTGTGTTGATTTTCAAATATCTGTTCATAAATCAAATCTCCAAAAGTACAAGCTTTTGCTAATCAGATTAAGTATCTGTATCCATGGATACATGTTTAAATTAGCAAATTAATTCATATTTAGATATCCAGAGTCCTGCGAAGATACAATGATTATTCATATTCATAGACCATTTAGACTTTGTTTCATTTGCTAGGAGAATTTTATGCTAAAAACATGGTGGAGTTTTTCCCTTTTCTTTTCTTGTTTTAGTATGAGTTCTATGACAATTAGGACGAAGAAACAACTCATAACGTAATGATTCCATTTGTTTAGTTTGACTGCTTCAGCATTATCCAATTGCTTTTGGGTTGTTGGCACAATGGGTATATGTTAGGGAAGATTATTTAATGTGATTGATCGTTTGAAGCTGTTTTAAATCTAGAAGCAGATCTGTACTTCACTTTGCATTAAACATGGATTGAATTTTATATTGAAAATTTAGCCAAAAAAATAGATTAAGTTCTTTTAGTTGAGAAATGAAGCTCCTTTAAAAATCTGTATATCATTGGTATTCTATGTGATTGAATGCATTTTGTTTCCCTTATAGGTATTTACATCATTAATCTTGGCAAGACCTGGGAGAAGCTTCAGCTTGCTGCCAGAGTTATTGTTGCCATTGAAAATCCTCAGGACATCATTGTCCAATCAGCAAGGCCATATGGTCAGAGGGCTGTCTTGAAGTTTGCACAGTACACTGGTGCTCATGCAATTGCTGGAAGGCACACTCCTGGCACATTTACCAATCAGCTCCAAACTTCTTTTAGCGAGCCCCGTCTTCTCATCCTCACTGACCCTAGGACTGACCACCAGGTAATTAACTGGCTTGTTACTTAAGATGGGTCTCATCCAGCTTTGTATGCAATTAAGTACGTCTAGCTACTTAGTGGAGTCTTGATTTTTGAGTTTTGTCCCTTTTTTAAATTCCTGGCAGCCTATCAAGGAATCAGCTCTTGGAAACATACCGACAATTGCTTTTTGTGATACTGATTCTCCAATGAGATATGTTGACATTGGTATTCCTGCAAATAATAAGGGAAAGCACAGCATTGGTTGTTTATTTTGGCTGTTAGCCAGGATGGTTCTTCAGATGCGTGGTACCATTCAGCCTGGACATAAATGGGATGTCATGGTAAGCACCGTAACCATCACTCTTATTAATGTTGTCTTTGCTCTTTACCTGTATTCACTTTTGATTGTATATTGCAGGTGGATTTATTTTTCTACAGAGAGCCTGAGGAAGCTAAACAACCAGAAGAGGAGGAGGCAGTTGTTGCCCCTGACTATGGACTTGCTGCTGCTGACTATGGAATGGGTGCCATTGCTACTGATCAATGGCCTGCACAAATATCTGATGCACAGTGGCCCACCGATATTCAGCAACCTATTTCTGCTGCTCCTGCTCCTGCTCCTGCTCCTGGCAACTGGGGCGACCAAGGTCAGAATCACTTTATTACTTTGTAATTTATGCTTTGAGTATGATGGTTTGCTATAACTTTGTAATACTTTCCTCCATCCCTGTTGCAATGCTGTATATTATGATTTCCTTTATGGTAGGCTGGACCTGATCTTGTTATTATGGTTTTGTTGAGTTTTAATGATTTTTACCAGTCAATTTGATTAGATTGTTAGACTCTGGTGCACTCTATTTGTGCCTTAGCATTGCCTTAGCTGTTGATCTTTTTGTCTTGTCATTTACTTCTCTTTTTTATAGCAATTTCAAGCCTTATGGTGGAGCATGGGCTCATTTCTTCTAGTTGTTTGATTGTTTTCCTTTTGTCCTTAAAAATTGCAGTTCCTTTGAGTGCGGATGGATGGGACACTACAATTCCTCCCCAAATGGCAGTTCCTGGAGTCGATGTCTCTGCTTCTGGAGTCGATGTCTCTGCTCCTGCCGCTACTGGCTGGGATTAAGGGAACTCAGCAATGTTACTATTGTGTGACGTAGTTTTGCTTCTATCATGAGCTAGTATGCAAGTTTTATCCTCTCCCTTCAGTGGATGTGCTTTCTTTTTCCAGATCTTAGTACATCAGCGCCCTCTAGATCTTTTTTTTCTTTTTCTTTTTTTCTGTTTAAGCAATGAATAATTTCTCATACATGAATTATTTCCATAGTAATATGTGATTTTACTAGAAATTTCATTATTATTATTACTGAAAGGTTCTGGGGATTTTCTAAGAAAAGCAGTATAATGGACCCAGTTTTGCATGATGCATAGAGCTGCTTTCCATTACGTACTGTCATGTAGCATATACCATTTGCAAAACCATCCATTTGTACCCAAGAACTTTGGCCATTCTTCCAAAATCCAAGCATATGGGTCCATGCCAATCAAACACACAGTAGAATCACCAACTGTTATCTTCCTCAGAATTGTTTTTTTTTTTTTTTTTTTCTACTGTGAAAGATCGTTGTATTTTGTCTTTGGTTATCTTTATTCATTCACTCTTCTTTGGTTATCTTTATCCGTTTACTCATCTTTGGTTATCTTCATCCATTAACTCTGGAATTGAATTCTATTCTTATTCCTCAGTTTTCAATATGCCAAATAGAGGTTTCAAGGAAGGAAGTTGAATTATTTTACATTCAAGTTGTAGGCATGTAAGATGGATAAAGGATGACAGGGTCAATTACTGCACTTTGTGCAATTTAAAAAGAAATCAAATATTAATATTAAATATGTTTTTTATATTCACCTTAATTAATTTCTTAATACACTTTCATAAATGTCTACTCTTTTTGCGTTTTGTTGATAAACAAATAGTAACATATTAGATTTAGAGGATCTCTTTGGGAAGAAGTTAAGAAACATCTTTCCTTTCTCTTTATCTACAAAGAATTCTAGATATAAAATTACAGAGACAAAGGGCTGATCTTAGACTAGAAAAAAGAGTGGATTTACAGTGGCCCAAACGATTCAGCCTCTTCAAGAAGAGTCTTGTTCCTTGGAAGATCCATCATCTGTCTTCATCTTAAACCTTTGAAAAGATTTTGTAATTTGAGTTCTTTTAACAGGTAATTGTAGAGAGAGGATTACAAGAGCTAAAGTTCAAACCTTGCACGCATATTCCTCAAAAAAATGAAAATAAAAAATATACATCTAACCGGGGTCCATGTTGCTATTGTATTCATGTTTTGTCTCTCCATTATTTTAAATATTCCAACTAGCAATATGCACAATAATGGTAGAGACTTAGATGCTTTTGGAACTGAAATTACAAAAAAAAGTGAGTGATAATGTTAGTTAAAAAGAAACTTTTCTTAGAAATACATTTAATTAGAGAAAAAGAATATAGTTTAATCCAAAATATTTTAATTTACTTCAATATCTTATTGTAGATTGTAATTTTAAAATAAAATCTTTAGAGCAATGTATTGAATCTCATGAATATAAGGTAAGGATTTTTAAATTTGGAATTCACAACTTATATATTTGCCGTAAGAATGAAGAAATCATGAATTAAGAAGAAATACAATCCTTATGAAAGTTCGATATAGACTTTTTCTTTTAGTAAACTCCCCTTTTAAACCCCCCAAATTTACTCCAAACTCCTCGAAATCGAATGATGTAAATTAGTCATCAAACCTCTCAAAGGATACTAATCAGCCCTTATCATTAATGGCCTAGCAAATGTGACCACACATAATTTACTCTTTTCCTTCCTTTGGTTAAGTTGGTTCCACTTTTCTACATATAACGTTGATGTGAATTGAAGATTCCTTTGGGTGGTAAAAATCCCACCAAAATGTTCCATGTGGCTTAAAAACACAAAATTAAAAAAAGAGCCATGGGTAATTGCTATTTGCCTTATTAATTAAGATTTGATTTGCAAGAGGTTATAGGAGATGGGTAATTCTATACAAATACCATCATTTAGTATGAATGGTTTGCTTTTACTATATTAATACTATGCCAAATCAACAATGGTTAATTCAAGAAATCCTTATCTAATTAAGTAAAATAAAATTAAAAAAAAAAAAGATTTTCCATGCTAATAGTACTTCTTAAGAGATGGAAAAACAAATTTTAGGAGCAAATAAGTAAATGAAAAAGTGTAGTACAGTTTGAATTATATCAAACTGCACTATGGGAGGTGGGTCCTCTGATTTTGGGGGTTCTTCTTTTTTTTTTTTTTTTTGAATAGATTTTACAAGGGGCTGAGTTCGAACCCCAGCCTTAGGAGAGGGGGGAATGCACCATGAGTGGTTACTGCCACTTGACTCGAAGGGCTCGGTGCTGATATTGGGGGTTCTTTCTCTCATTTAATGATTATTATTTTATAATTTAATATAGTCTAAACAATAAAATAAAGTTTACCAAGTAAAACCAAAAAATATAAGAACGAATATAACTATTTCTAGAAACTTTAAGGACCAAAACCGCAAGTAACTTTCTTATTTGGCTTCTTTCGTCTCTTTCACCCCCCGCTGGTTCGCGGTTAAACATCGAAACTGAGGCGCTCAAGAAGAAATCCTGTGAAAGGAGACCCGACTCAATGTTCAAGGTGTGTTCTTTTTCTGCTTAATCGATGTGATCATTTGGGAAAATCTTTGTTTCTGTCATGGGTTTTTCTTTCTGCAAAAGCCTAATTTTGGTAAGAGGTACATTAGCAGCATCAAAAGGCCTCTCATTTCTCCAAACCGACCTGTAAACACCTTTTTCGATTAGATTTATCTCCGCGAAAGCTGAAGATAGACACTCTTTTACAGTGTCCCATCTCATAAATTCATGTGGGTTTTCTCCTGAATCCGCTCTTTCCATTTCCAAGAAAGTTCTATTTAAAACCCCCAAAACCCCAGATTCAGTGATTAACTTCTTGAGCAAGCACGGTTTCTCGCAAACCCAGATCAGAAGATTGATCGAGAAAGAACCCCAAGTTCTTGGGTACAATCCTGAGAAATCCCTCTTGCCCAAATTCAACTTCTTTTACTCCAAAGGTCTTTCAAGCTCTGAACTTGCTGGACTCTTGTCAACATACCCTTATATTTTGAGAAGGGGTTTGGATTCCCACATCATTCCCAATTTTAATTTCTTCAAGAATTTGGTTGGCTCTAGTGATAATAAGGTATTGTTGGCTTTCAAGCGTTTCTCTGGCGTTCTATATTCGAATTATAAGTCCTTATCTCCTCCCAATGTTGCATTACTACGAGAACATGGTGTGCCTGAGTCCAATATTGTGAGTCAACTGATTAATACCCCTAGAGTCTTTGCTGCTAACCATGATAAGTTCAAAAGTGTTGTGCAAGAAGTAAAAAAGATGGGTTTTGATCCAGGGAAGTATGCTTTCTTGGGTGCTATTTCAGTCATGATACAGTTGGGAAAAGGAACTTTGGAAAGGAAATTCGATGTTTACAGGGAGTGGGGCTGGTCTAAGGAGCAGGCTCTTCTTGCTTTTCTCAAGTTTCCTTTGTGTATGAATTTATCTGAGACCCATATTAATGCTGTAATGGATTTCTTTGTCAACAAGATGGGTTTGAGTTCTTCCTATGTTGCTGAGAGACCAGCTCTTCTTTCATACAGCTTGAAGAATAGAATCATCCCTCGTTGTTCTGTCCTTCAAGTTGTGTTGTCCAAAGGTTTGGTCAAGGATGGCTTTAGTTTGCTCAGTGTGGTATCCGTAACTGAAGATAAGTTCTTACAGAAGTATGTGACTTGTTGTAAGGATGAGGCTCCCCAGCTGATGAAGTTATATCAGGAAAAATTAAGTATTTCTAAATGACAGGATATAAGCAACACATTTTAGCAATGTGAGCTAGCTCCGTTCATTCCTTTGTTTATTTTCCATTTTGCTGTGTTGCTTTTAATTTTGATGGAGCGTTATATGCAACTGATTTTTATCTGAAGTTGGAAGTGATTTTAGATGCCTAATGTTGATGCTGGATAGAGAAATATGCCAATTGTTTCCACATCTTCGTATTTATAGCACTCCTGATCGAGCCGGAACCAGAAATTGTAGGCTGTACAAACGGCCGTAAAAACGGCAAAAAGAGTTCCCATAAACTCACGTTTTCAAAAAATCTCTTGATTTTGTTTAAAATGTTTGGTTTGAAAAAAAAAAAAGTTTCACTTTGGTGCTAATTTGTATATTGCTCTATGCAGGTTCTGATTCCCTGCCCAATTGAGCATTTGAGCATTCAATTGAGCATTTGAGCATTTTCTTGAGTGCACTAGACTAATATAGAGATGCACCTTTAAACGAACTGGAATACTAATTAGCTCTAAGATTTTGAGAATGCTAGTCTATTATTATTTATTGCAACTATATTCAAAACAAAGAAAAAAATACATATTAACTTAAAAGAATAAGCCTTCAGACTCATCAGCAATATTCCATTTCATTACAACATGCCGTGCCAAAGAGAATGCATTTATTTTTGCAAATCCATGCATATTATTAGCTCTTACATCTGCTTTAATTTTTTTTTTTTTTGAACATATTTGCAAGGGGCGGGTTTCGAATCCAGCTCGGAGAGGGAGGAATGCACCGGGGTGGCTATTACCACTAGGCCTCAAGGGCCAGGTGCCTTACATCTGCTTTAATTGATAGAACAATAAAAGAAAAAAGTATGTGAGAGGATGGATATGCTTGTTGGGTTGAAGCCAGATATGATAGGAAGAGGCATGTGAAAGGATTGATGGATATGCTCGTTTGGTTCAAGCCAAATATGATAAAAGATTGTATTTCAGCAAGTTTAATTAGTGAGTTGTGTAGTACACTTATCTTTTAACTTGCCCTGAATTCATTGTAACTTACATCACTGGATTGAGAATATATAGAATGATTATATAGAATACTCTCTGGAAGATATAATTTAAAATAATTTAATTTCCTTCAATATGTTATTGTAGATTGAAAATTTAAATTATATATAATCGTCCTTAAAACAATTGTATGAACTGATCAATCTTAGGTTAGGACTTTTATATTTGGAAATCACAGCTATATTATTTTGCTTTAAAAATGAAGAAAACATGATTTAAGAAGAAATACAATGACATTACAATCTTTATGAAAGTTCAAAATGGACTTCTTTTTAAATAAAGAACGTACATTAAGAAAACTCACTTTAAAAGGGTATTAGCTGGCATTAATTTCCAGGTAGGTCAGCATTGATATTTGAATTTTTAATGGCACCCCGATACAAAATGAGTTGGATGGTTGTTGAGTGTTGAATTTAAAATATGAATATTAACTTAACATATAAAATTATAAGATATCTATTTAGAAAAAAAGTATATTGTAAAATATATTGTATCGTATTGTAAAATATGAATTTATAAATAAGAGGTATACTCATTGATATTGAGACTCTCTTTCTCTCCAAAATGCATGTTTTATAATTTGATATAGTTTAAATTATAAAGTAATAAATTTATTTACTTATTAGTATATTTAATATTTGTTGAATATATAAATACCAAATTCTCACAAGATTTTTTTTTCCAATTAGTCGATGCATACCAAATTTACATCTTTAGTTTTGCATCTTTTCAAGAAAAAAAAAAGAGTGATATACACTTAATTTAATATATTTTTAATATTTATTTTAATTTAATAATTAAAATATAATATTAATTTTTACATTTTCATATATCACTGTACTTTTAAATTTATTTATTGTTAAATTTATATAAAAAATAATAATTTTTTAATAAATATATTTTACAGTATACTAAACAAAAATATACACCAACCCATGTTCTAAAAAATAAATGAAACGCATAAAATCGCAACGCAACACATAACGTAATCTCATATTTGTCTTATGGTGGATACCATTGAATGGTTGGCAGCTGTATTTATCAAGTGCTATGCTGTCTATTTCTAACTCTGGCTTATTGATTTTATGTCTACCAAAAAACCAAAAAAGGCTTGTTGATTTTATGCAATTCTTGGGGACATTATTGAATGTTACATGCAAAAACAACAAATTACTAGTGCACTTGAAAATGTTGTTTTTTCTGTGGTCCATGCAACATGAGAGATCTTGGTCTCAAATTTTTATGTCCCCACCATATCAAGTTATGAACCCTTAATTTTTGAAGCCAAAGATTGAAGGAAAAAGAACCCCAAATAACCAAAACCTTTTGTGGTTGGAATTGGGACGCAACTATTCGATATTGGCTGCTTGATAGATCCAATGGATGTATTAGAATTAGAATTATGGATGTGTACAAAAAAAATTAATTATTGAAGAGGATGTAAGCATTGTTATTATCTTAATCAAGTAACCCTTCATCAACTTTAAATGTTATGGTTTTCAGGAGATTGGATATAAAATATAAGATGGAAAAGGTCAAGAGCAAATATGGAAAGAACAGCCAAGAACAGCCAAGAATTAATGAGATTGTTGGCTTTTTTATTTTTATTTTTATTTTTAGTATATTGAAAGATTAATTGTTTGATAACGTAAAATATTGAAATTTTGATCTTAATTTTAAATTAATGAGTATTAATTTAGACAAATTTTTGTTGGTGTTGGCTTTATTTTGTATGAATCTGGTAAGAACATGCAAAATCAATACTGCTTTGCTTGTTGAACTTATTTGCAACCCTTTTGTTGTTGTTGTTTTATTTTATTTTTTAATAAAATAAGAATAGAAAGAAGAGTAAATTTGTGGTTATAGAGAATAAAGGAGTCGAGTTTTGCATGCACATGACATTCAACTATTCAAGCCAACTTGATTGAAAGGTACATCTCTTCAGCCATGCGTTCATTGAGTTGCATTCGAATCTCTCCCCTAAATTTGTAATTATATTTTCTAAAATGAGCATAATTGATAAGAATTAAAGATTTGAACTATCAATAATTTAGTTAAATTTATATTCCTTAATTTAAAAAATTTGTTTAATCTAGATTAAATATTTAAGCTTTTGTCTTACAAAATAACTTAATACAGAATTAACAACAAAAAAAAAAAAAGCAAAATAAAAATGTTTAAATATTTAAATAATTTTATACCATTACTAGCTAAGGGATACAAAAAGGATAGAAAGTAAATCCAACGGGATATTTAAACTTAATTACTTGTTCATAATTTATTAAGTAGAAAAGCAAGTATTAGTTTGTATTGTAAAAAATTTGGTGAAAAAAAAATCAAATTAGAAAAGATTAAAATATTTTAATTATTTTCAAAGTAGAAATAAAGATATTTCAATTTTTTTATAATACTTTATTAAAATTACCTAATTTTAAAATTTTTTACCTAAATTTTTATAAATTCAATTAATAAACATTAATTTTTTTATTAAAAATATATAAACAATTTTACACCATTACTAGGTGAAGGATAAAAAAGGATAAAAAATAAATCCAGTGAAAAAAAAAAAAAAAAAAAAAAAAAAGATTTCTTCTCAACTGGGACTCAAAAACAGGAAAACGGGGAATTAGCGAATGGCTGGCGACAGTGAATATGATTGAGTCTCTCTCTCATAGAAAGGGACGCCAAAACCAAGGCTGGACAGAAAAAAATTCCTCCATACATGGCAAAGACCCTTCCTGGCCATCCAATCTCTCTTAAAAAGTCATGCCTTTTAAGTTTCTTCTTCCAAATTCTCCACTAAATCTCCCTCTCACCAAATCTCTTCCCCTGTTTTCTCCTCTTTTCTTTTCAGTGCATCTCCTTTGCTCCTCAGTCATCCATTCCACCAGCATTCAGTAGAGTCACTCAATATGTCCTCCTTTTAACTTTCTTGGTTTGTTGTTAAACTCTATGATTCTGTGTTCAGGACCTATTAACTGAGGTGGGTTTTGGTTTTCAGCTCTTTCTGCTCTGTTTCTCTTTGGCTTTCTTTGTGTATATAATATATTTTTTTCATGTTCTGGATGCACAGGTACAGACCCTTTTGTTTGTTTGATTTGGTTAGAATTTATATAGGTGTTTTGGGTTTTTATGGTTGTTCAGATAGCAGCAGGAAACCTCAAGGTGCAAGCTTAATGGTTCTTTTTTTGGGTTTAATTATTTCTGAGCTTCTTTGTTAGTTGAATTGATAACTTGGTTTTCCTCTTCTGTCTTGCGGTTGGTCTTTTGGCTCACTGTTTTCTATTTATTTTGCCCTGGGATGCAGTCTTATTTCAGGACTACAATAACATAGTAGAATTGGTTTTGATGCATCGATTTACAAGATGTGGTAGATTCTTTTGAATTGTTTACATCCCATGAACTTCCTTTATAATAGTGCAGGCAACAGGAGTGCGGTCATAGTGGCTTAAGTTTCTGATTTGCTTTTTCTTGTTGGTCTAAATTATTCAGATCATTGCTTTAAACAAACAAGTGACAAGCAGTTGTCTTCAGATTGATTTTAAGATTAATTTTGTGTGAATATGTAGTATATCTGGGACATGGTAAATTTTAATAAGAATCCTTGATATGTAAATCAAAGTCAATATCTCGATATCAGAAATCTTAGGCAAGGTCTTCTGTTGAAATGCATATCCCAAGATAGATAATATAAAGTTTCAATTTGTGATGAGTCTTGGTTATGGAATTTTTCTTTAGATTTTTTTTTTTAATAGTCTCTATCACTATCAGTCTATCTTGCTAATTTGACGTCCTATTTTCATTCAATATCATGAAAATAGTAATGGAAATGCTTTCTGTTTCAGTTCCATGACGCAAGGTGAAAGTGTAATTAGTCCTGAAGGGGAGATTCAGATAAGTTTTGGCTATCAATGCAATGGCCACAAAGCTAGAACTTTCCGGATTTTCAATGGATGTGAAATCCTCCCTGGAAGTAAACTGCCTCGGGTGAGCAGTTTCTCTTGTCTGTCTGGTGCTGCCTTAAGTGCAAATGCCACATTGGCCAACACCAATATCTGCAATGGTCTAATAGGAGAGGAGATTCTTCCTAGTCTGGACTCTCCTAATTCATTTCGCAAGGTTTCATCTTCTCCAAGGCTGGATATATTGTCATCTTCTCTCCAAAGCTGCCTTTCAAACTTAAGTTGCAGCTTACAAAGTCCCACTGATCCAACTGAAAATGATTCTTACTTACTAAAATACATGAGTGCTCCTTCTAGAAGCGATAGTTTCCTTAATGCTATGGAAGTGCAAGTGGCAGGTGGAGCTGCTGGTGAAGACAGGGTTCAAGCTGTTTGTTCTGAAGAAAATGGATGGCTCTTTTGTGCAGTCTATGATGGTTTCAATGGAAGAGATGCGGCTGACTTTCTGGCTGGGACATTCTATGAAACTATCTTTAACCTTAATTTATTGGATTGGGAAAAGAAGCAGGATGGCACTAGAGCATCTTATGGTTGGGATGTGGATGAACCTCTCCAATATGGTAATGAGGAGAGAACTCCTTCAAATATTGAAAACAATGGTTATGCAAGTGCTGACAATTTCATCAAGAAAAATGAAAATCCTGAAATGGAGGTATCTTCTGCTTCATTTAGGCATGGTGTGCTTGATAGCCTCCAACATGCTCTAAATCAGGCAGAGAATGATTTCTTGCACATGGTAGAGCAGGAAATGGAGGATCGGCCTGATTTAGTTTCAGTGGGATCCTGTGTTTTGGTTATGCTTCTTCATGGAAAAGATCTGTATATGCTCAATCTAGGTGACAGTCGAGTTGTGTTGGCAACATTTGGTAAAGGCAGTGACACAGGTGGGAACGAAAGATTGGAAGCTGTTCAGCTCACTGATATTCACACTGTTGAGAGTGAAGTTGAAAGAACTAGACTCTTGCGTGATCATCCTGATGACTCTTCATGCATTGTGGCTGGAAAAGTGAAAGGAAAATTGAAGGTTACTCGTGCTTTTGGAGTTGGTTACTTGAAAAAGGTAGGTATTGTTTGAATTACATTGAAGTTGCCCTTAATTTCTTTCTCTTTTGGTTATCTTAACTCCTAAATGGAACAATATCAATCACGTTACAGCCTAAACAAAATCTAGAAACTATCTTCATAAAAAAAATTCTAATTGTTTCTGCTGGTTTAGTATATTTTGACTGGTTCTTGATTTTCTTTAATCAGAAAAACCTGAACGATGCACTGATGGGTATTCTTCGAGTTCGTAATCTCATTAGCCCTCCGTATGTGTCTATTGAGCCATCACTGAAATTGCACAGAATCTCAAAATCTGATCACTTCCTTATAGCTGGGAGTGATGGTTTATTTGACTTCTTCAGCAATGAAGAGGCCGTGAAGCTTGTCCATTCTTACATCTTGAGCAACCCTTCAGGCGATCCAGCAAAGTTTCTAGTGGAGGAGCTTGTGATTAGAGCAGCCAGTGCTGCAGGTATAATTGATGTGTAATTGCAAGTCATTTGATTATTATAATCTGAGTAACTCACAAGAAGCGCATTAACTTTAACTATTTATAAACTTTTTCCTTCTTTTTGCTTCATGTCTACATAATACATTTGTGTATCTTTTCCTGCTTAATTGTAAATGAATATAGGTAAACTCTACTTTGTCTTTGCTTATGTCTTTTCCTTTAAGAATCAAGGATTTCCTGGGTATAGATACAAGGGGTTGTCCCCGTGGCTTTCAGCTCTATTTTGTTTGGACTGCTTCCAAACAAATGGAGCAACAATGTAGATCAGCATGCTAAAAAGATACCAAATTATAATACATTAGTTAGTTGCAGCTGGTTTTTTTAATGATAGAGGAGTATACTTGTTTATTCATCCTAAGAAGTATGCATGTTAATTACGGTTGCAGGTTTCAGTAAGGAAGAATTGATGAACATTCCAGCTGGAAGGAGAAGGAAATATCATGACGATGTTACTGTAATAGTGATCATGCTCGGAACCAATCAGCGCACTTCTAAGGCATCAACTCGTGCATGAGTTTTATGTTGCTGCTTTCTTCTTTGCAAGAGTAGCTATATTTTTCAGTTGTACATATTTTTCCTCAGAAACTCTATATTTGTCCAAACTTCACTCAAAATTAGCATGAGAATGCTCACATTTCCTTGGCTGAAAATTCCAGAGTTAACAATGTTTGTGAACAAATAACCCCAAGCAATTAGTTGCTACAAGAGATGAAATTCATCTTCCCTTGATGAATGCTTTTATATTTGACATTTATTTTCCTAACATGGATCGAGTATGTCAATTAATTTAGTTATAATTGTTTTGCTAGATATGTTGATCTCCTTTGCTAGGTGATGAAAACACAAATGACATTTGAAATTTAGATGTTTGTTCCACAGACTCATTCAAATGAGCACTTTTCTAGGCAAGAAAGTACACACATTTTTAAACTGACAAATGTGAAGCAAAGGTGATCAAGTTGACAGGATACTGATCTCCTCTGGAAGCAAGGGGTGCCATAGTGTAGTGAGCATCTAGTTCTCTGCTTCCTTGCCATTGTTCTCTACAGGTACAGTATTTATTTCCCCATCCTTCTCTTCAACCTTCTTGTTGTCGGTGTCTTTAGCATCCCCTGATACATCTTGCAGCTGCAAAATTTTTGAATGTTTTCAGAATATGTACTTTTTCTAATTTCTGCAACTTTAAAAGAGATCAGCACGAAGAAATGAGGCAGGGACATCTAGACAACTCACTCCCAAATTTCTTAAGCTAGCGGTGACATCTTCTTGTTGTTGATGGAGAGTATTCCTCAGTTCTTGAAATTCCTAGTTTCATTAATCATTAATGACACGTTTGTATAGATAAAATATGGCACAATTAAAGGGAGGAAATGTAATATACGAAATACTTACTGAACGAAGGTGCTCCACTTCAACATTAAGTGTCTTCTTTAGTTCTGTCAGCTCCTGCACATAACACGTATCAAATGTATCAAAATCAGGAAACTTCATTCACAAAACGTGAATTGAGGTACATACAGGGTCAGGCATAGTATGAAATGCCATATTATGTTATGTTGACACTGCAGTCATTATATTTAAACAGGAATAACAAGGTTAGGCATGGTGATCGGGTTTCAAAACCAGTTATAGATCATTGTCAAGCTCAACGTCGCCAGGTTGTCAACATTATCATATTATGATGATGAATCCTACCAATTACATCAAAACATAGATGAAGGGCACAATGCACCACCAAGAAGTTTCAAAACCACAATGCAGATATCAACATTTTACAGTTGCCATTCTAACTTTGATCAGAAATTTAGAACAAATATAAAGTAGCAAAGAAATATGAGAAAAAAAAACAAGTAGATTAAGCAGCAACTAGAGCGTACATCACTGTAGATTTTGACTTGGGTATCTAATTTGGATCTCCAGTTTTGCAAATCCTAAAAGGCAAAAGGGTCAATGAGAAAAATTAGATAAAATCACCCAAAAAGAAAAAAAGAAAAAAAGAAATCTTTCTTCTTTCATAATCACCTGTTTCAATCCCTGGATCCTATTAAGCACCTCTGCCCTTGATTCATTCAATTCCTAACCCAAAAAAGAAAAGTCCAAATGCAGTTTTAGAAAAACCAGCTAAGAAAATGAATCAAATCAAACAAAAATAAAGTACGGTAAATGCAAATTAAGAGAAACCCATTAAACAAAACCACATACAGCAATCTTTGAACCAATGGGTGTGATGTTCTCCTTTTTCTGCAAAATCAACCCCAAAAAAAAGTTTAAAGGATGAATAGAAAAAACCAGTCATTAACATTTCAACCAAAATAAAGAAGAAAGACTCATGTCCAACCAAAACCCACGAAAGAAATTAAACAGAAAAAATGAAAGGAAGAGTACCGGAGCAAGTGGAGCAGAGACGGGAAGAGAAGTGGAAGAATCAGAGTTTGCCATTTGGGTAAGAAGAACTGGATCGAAAAATTCGAAAGGGACGCGAAAAAGTTAATGGGGTTTTGGGGTTTAATGCGATGAAGGGGTTTGGTGTTGGATTGGTGGGTTCAGCTCAAGTGGGGAATCTGTACTCTGTAGAGTAAAGGGGTCGGGAGTTCACGTTGGAATTTTGTTGGGTTTGGTTTTGAATTTAGGGGGTTAAGGGTGTGTTTGGGCGGGCAAAAACAAACTGATGAAGGATTTTGATGATCGAACATCAATGTGGCATTTTTTTTATTGTAATTTAATTTTTAGGTAAAACCCCTAATTTGGTCCCTAACTATTATATAAACCATTGATTTGACCCTTAAATTAAATAAATTCTTGATTTGATCCCTACTGATTATCAATTTAACCCCAAGTTTGTCATTTTATACAAAAATAACTGACGTGTTTCATTATTAACATGATATGTGATCATTAAACAATGAAATTTTCACCATTAAGTAATGCAATGTCAATTACTTTTTAATTGAAGGACTAACTTGAGATCAAGTTGATAAATAATAAGGATTCAATCAGAAATATTTTTAATTCAAGAATCAAATCAAAAGTCTATACAATAATTAAATGATCAAATTAAAAGTTTAACCTAATTTTTATGGCCTACATAACAATGAGAGAAAGGGATGCCCTAATGCTATGTGGACCCTAGTTTGCTCATTGATTGAGTTTGAGTTTTTTGACATTTAACTTTTAAAAAAGTTGGTCTCTATGGTATTGTTGTATTGTAATTTTTTTATGCGTAGATTATATATTTTATAGTTAATATAAAAAAGTGATTATATTAAGAGGATTGTAATATAATATTAAATAAAAATGTTTTAATTTTTTAATAATAATTATAAAATATATAATCTATGTATAGTAGACAATGTGTCACTTCTCTATTATTATTAATTAAATTGTTAAAAATTTATAATTGTTACTAACAAATTCGTTTTAACTCAAATCCTATTTCACACTCTGATCTCTCTTGTTGGTTATTTTTAATTTTGTTTAGTTAAAGTCATTTCCATTGCATTATTAAAATAAATTATCTTCATTTAATATAGTTGTGATTTTAAAATTTTAATTTTATAAAATTTTTAATCATTAAAAATTATAATTAAAAATTATGAATAATTTATATAAAATGAGTTTTAACAATGAAAACTTAAAAATATATACTTGTTTAGTATTATTAACACTATTTTTATTCTTATTTCTTTAAAAGCATAATAATATGTTGAAAATAAGATATGAAGCTTATTTAAAATTGGAAAAAAATTTAAAAATTAAAATTAAAAATCTAAATCTATTACTATAGTAAATATAGCCTAAATTAAATATTAATTTAAAAAAAAAAACCGACTATTTTTCGACATAGTCTAGTTTTTATTTTAGTGCAAACGGTAAAAAAAAAATTCAGAAGTGTTAAAATGATCAAAATACTATTAAATTAATATAAAAAAATTTTTCTTAGTAAATTGAGTGTTTTATTTTACTATCTAAATTATTTTAAATTATGAAATAAAAGTCATAAAATGAGAGTAGAGTCTTTAATATGAAAAAATTTTATTTTTATTTAATAATTATAATTATATAATTTAATATAACCTAAACTTTACAACATTTTTTTTAATAATTTTTTTTATTTCAATTACATAATAAAAAACAACTCTTTTTTATTATTTATTCCATTTTACCCACATATTCAAACTTAAATCTCATTTTCAATAAAAAAAATAATTACTAAATTGTTTAAATAATTAACTTTTTCGCACTTGACCCGTGTGGCCCAGTGACTAGAGCCACTGTAAAGTGCACATCTCCTTCTCCTGGACGGGTTTCGAACCCGTCCCATGACAAAACCGTTCAAAAAAAAAAATTAACTTTTTCTTTAATAATTTTAATGTGAAGATTATACTTCTTTTTGCGCCGTACGTATAGAGAAGAAAAGAAATTGATTTATTTGGACTTTGACGGTGTTCAATATATCAAGTTTTTCAATTAATCGAAGCCAAAACACAGTCCGTTTTCCCACGTTATTCATTAATTTATTCCCAAGAAAATTACTAAAATTCTCCCTTCGCAGCAAAGTAAAAAGCCAAACGCGGCCTTAAAGTATTGAACCAGAGACAAGCTCCCTGTCTCTGTTCTGTCTCTCATATCTTTTCTGTCTCATCAACTCGCGAGAGCTGACTCAGTGTGCAAAATGAGCCAGGAATCGTTCATATACAGCTTCGTGGCTCGAGGCACCATGATCTTGGCTGAGTACACCGAGTTCACCGGTAATTTTCCGGCAATCGCGGCACAGTGTTTGCAGAGACTGCCTTCCTCCAACAACAAGTTCACCTACAATTGTGATCATCACACCTTCAATTTTCTTGTTGAAGATGGATACTGTAAGTTTTGTTCTGATCTCTTCTCTTTCATTCTTGGTTTTTCTCCTAGAATAAAGCAGATGGAGAAGTTGACAGGTTGAATACTTGAATTTAAAGGTGAAAGTAGTTGGATCTAGTAAAGGACGTGTGGAATGGTACTGGGTTTCCTTTTTTAGATGCTAAAACCTTGTAAAGTGAGTTTCTTTTGTTGGTTTTGTATGGTTTCTGTTTGGTTATTGAGAAAACTGAGGAAGATGTAGGAAAAAGCAAATCTTTTGACCCTGATTTGGTTAATAGCATATGTAAGGGTGATGTGGTGTAAATTTCTCTACAATTGGTTTTCTGTTTTCCTTGGCCTTAAGATGGTGGATACTGTTTTGTATATGTCATGTAGGAACTTGGCTTATGTGAGTAGAGCTGTCCGCATGTGAAACTAGTGACATAAATCTTATCTTTTCTGGCCAGCAGGGAGATGCATCTTTCTTGTCCAATCACATAAATGAATGTTTTTGACTAAAATTTTTGCTCATAGTGAATGAAGCAAATTGGAAAAATATACTAACAATCATATGCAACATGGATTGCAGAAAATTAGGACCTTATGGCAATTAAAATGTTAGGAATGATGATGAAAGTACCTAAGTATATCCTTAATGAATCAACATACAAGAAAAATTTATTAAGGGTATTTGAATAATTTTATAGATAGTCTCGACATTTTAAATGTCCGGACATCCTGATTTTCACTTTTCTTATACAATATAAATGCTAGCCCTTTTGTGGTAATCTTTTCAGTCATTCAATGTTCTCCATGTCCTTGCGATGCAAAAAGTCTGTAGAAAAGACAACCAATAATTGTTAAATGTCAACTTGAAAAGCTTATATCTTGGATTACATTCTATTGGTGTTAAGACATGCTTGCCTTATCTATTGCGCTGTATTTACTAATTCAAATAGCGTGCATTTGCTAGATGCCTTGATGTACTGGTATTACTCCTCAGCAAACTTGTAATTACAGCATCATTGGCATTTGGGGTGGTATGCAGATTGCTCAATGCTGCCGGTGGTTACCTTGCAGTGATTGTATTGAGTTCTCTATATGTTTTTTTGACTGAATGACTGAAAATTACCTAGATGCTGTTGAGCATCCACCGGTGTGGCTGTTGCATGTCAGAAAGAGAATATTCTACATGCCTCTTTAAATTGAAACCTGTTACAGCTGGACTCTGGCCATAATACTCATGGTTCTAGTATTTGTAGGATAAAAGGAGTGAAGGCAGACCCAGTGGGCTAGTAATACAAGTTGTTATAGTTATCCACCCAACTCCTATCCTGGTGCTTGACTAAGGGACGAATAATTTTTTGTGGTGCTTAAATTAGACTGTTCTCTGCTATATGCAGCTTGCTGTGTTGTTGCCAAAGATACTGTTGGGAAGCAAATTTCTATTGCATTTCTGGAACGCATGAAAGCAGACTTTAAGAAAAGATATGGGGGTGGAAAAGCAGATACTGCTACTGCCAAGAGTCTCAATAAGGAGTTTGGGTTTGTACAACCCTGCAAGCCTTTGAATTACATGAGATATTTTGATTCCTTCTGTTATTCAAATTAAAATTTTGCACCTTAATTAAAATGTAAAAGAACATAATATGCAGGCCAATTATGAAAGAACACATGAAGTACATTATTGAACATGCTGAAGAGATTGAAAAGCTTTTGAAAGTGAAGGCTCAAGTTTCAGAAGTTAAAAGTATAATGTTGGAGAACATTGACAAGGTAAATTCATTTTACTATTTCTGTGTGTTGAGCATTTGTATTCCTCTGCTTCTTGCTTCTGTATATTTATACGTGCAGTGGAATTGAGTCCTGAGTAATAACGGCAAATTCTTGCGTTAGTTCCCTTGCTGACCATCAACCTCCTTTTCTTTTCTGGTTGTGTGTGCAAGAGAGTATATGTTTAGCACAGCTTTTGAAAAAGTCTTCTCTGTTGCAAAACCTAAGGGCCAAATGCAATTTATTGAAATGTGCTTTCTAAATGTTGTTTTCCAGCTTCATTAAAGCTAGAAGCTGAAACTATAGGTTTCTAGCTTCTGAAGTAGAGTTTTTGTTGTTAAACTTCTGAATTTGATAATTTTTTAAATCAATTTTTTTTAATTTTTTTGTGATTATTTTTTTAGAATTCATGATTTTCCACATCCACGAAATTTATACACAAACAACACTTCCACAAAAATTACAAATAGGCAAAACGTGCTCTATTAAATGGAATGCCAAAAACACTGCTCATAGTAGAGGATAGCCTATTAGTCTAATGCAAATGTTAGGAGTCTGACTCACTTTTTACAAGATGTTTACTCTCCTATGTACTTTGGATAAGACTTCAACATTTAGAAATTGATCTTGGAAAGGGGTATATAAGTGTTTATCATTTGAGAACCAGGGATCAGTGGTCCAGATATAGTTTCAGGCATCTAAGAGGAGAATCTGTAGTTGGTCTATCTCTTTATGTCATAATACCTGCTGAGATTATTTGTCACTGAGGTGCACTTTTCACAGAAAGAATTAATGTTAACAAGTGAGAGTTTGTAACTGGTAATCTGGTACTTATTTCATCATTGGCTGAACTTCTAAACAAATGATTTTCAGAACAGTTAATGGCATTAGCAGAGGTTATGGTGATCAGCTAGATATGTAGTGTAAACAATGTCAGCTGTCCACTTACACCAGTACTATTAGTAGAATGATAATCTAATCAGGAAAAAAATTACTCTGGATTAAGTTTGTTTCCTACCATCTTCAACACCATTTACATAAGCCTATTTCACTTGTGTTCAGGTCAGTCGTAGTAAGTTAACCCTATATTGTATGTTCTGCTTTACAGGCTCTTGAGAGAGGGGAAAACCTAACGACTCTAGCTGACAAGACAGAGAACTTACGTAATCAGGTAAAGTAACCTAGCCAGGACATGCTCTACGTA